GGGGGGCAATTTGATGGGAATTAGGACGAAGTTAACTGCCGGCGGCGGCTGCTAGGAGCAATAAGAGGGGTCAGGAGCGTAGAGTGAACAACGCTACTGCAATTGGCCTGACCAAGTGTGTAGTGAAGAGATAACCGTGAACATTGTGCCAAGTTGATAACGATTACAACAAACGGCTGCCTTACAGGATCGAGAGGTTGGTACACGAACCATAGGCAGGAAGCGGGGCGATTAGTTTAGCCGGTCCAGAAACTTCAAACAGGAGACAGAATTTCTCAAGTATCCACTGACTTAGTTTGGCCTCTTCACCGCTGCTTCGCGGAAAGCGATTTTGACGCGGTCAACTATCGAAAATAAGACGAGATCGCTGGAATCTGAACTCTATTCGTCTGAAGTTTCGAACTCATCCTAGAAACCATCATCAGGGACAGCAGCGAGTAAGGGTGTAATACATATACAAGGGCAGCAGTATTTATAGGATGCAGTCGCCATGCTATCGCATATCCAGAAACATCTACGGCTCCCTTCTTCATCAAAGATGGTTACCCCTTTTGTGCAATAATTGCTCGAATGCTGGTCACCCCGTAAATACTGCAACCCCCTATCTGATGCTCTTTTCGATGATGATGATGATGATGATGATGATGATGATGATGATGTTGATGATGGTGATGATGATGATGATGATGATGATGATGATGATGATGATGATGATGATGATGATGATGAAAATGATGATGATGATGATGATGATGATGATGATGATGATGATGATGATGATGGCTGATGATGATGATGATGATGATGATGATGATGATGATGATGATGATGATGGATTCAAGCATGAATCCGAGACGAGGTTCCTGCGCGTCCACTGTCTCCCGTGACTCGTAGTTTCGCATGAAATACCTTTGTGAGACTGGTCTCATCAGACTAATGACCTCATAAGCTGCGTAACACAAGTGCTCTATTTAGTCGCTGGGTAGTATCTGACAGATGGCACTCTCTCCCAATGAGGGCCCTCGTTGAAGACCAAAGACTGGAACTCGACCACGCCGCCCAAACGCTCTCATACATAAACTTACGAAGGGATAGCTCCATTTTGTTCATGCTCTAAGACGAATCCCCCAGGTGTTCTCGTCATCCTACTGATAGAAGCGAACGGGTGGGTTCCAGGAAGGAGTCCAG